AGAAACACAACCAACTGGTCAATCAAACTTGATGACAAATAAATTACTGAAGGGCCATCCAGCAGTAACAAAGGTATATCAGGAGCTACTTGGTAATTCATAAAGTGAATTCGGCCAGATCATTCACAATACACAAAAGCACCAAGCTCAGTCTGTTATATATCATGACGCTGGTTCTATAATCATTCTTTCAGAACTAAAACGATAAATAAAAAGCAGCAGAAAATATTCAAAATGGGAAAATGGGAGGGCGGGTTAATTCTGTAGCTTTGATCAAGATCCGTGTAATGACAAATCAACCTGAGGTAAAATGCACGGACTAAATTTCACGTGTTAAAATAATAAGCATATAAAAGTGAGCAGTAAAAATAAAATCGGACAAAATGTGAATTAAAATCATACCAAGTTTTATAATTATAATAACAATTAAATTATTATTGAATTAAATTCCAATACCTACTGATCATTATATAGGGCTGCGCATTATCTAATTAGGTTAATTAAAACCAGCAAGTTTATTAAAACCGCTGCTAACCATTAAAAAGTGTTCATAGAGATCACCAGTTGCGGACTAAATTTCTTCAATAATATAATTCGTTTAATGTGTTTGAGCTTTTGATTTTGTCAGTTGTGAAGGGACTTTCCGTTTAGAATTTTCGTTGGAGTTCGGTATTTTTGTTGTTTTACTTTTTGCCTTGAAATATTTTTGGAGATTTAATGCAAACACTTTGACACATTTGCAGCTATGGATGTTGAATTTTACCATCCTTAAAACATGGCGTCATACGATTTTTGCTGTGTATTTATGTACTAGTATTTCACACATCAAAACGAAACTTTAAAGGCTACTTCTACTACTTCTACTTCAATTACCATGCAGTTATTACTAGAAACAATGGTATTTACAGTAAAGTGCAGTACCATTTGTATAAAATAAAACTGAACAACAACAGTGTACTGCTGTTCTTTATCTTTAATACGTAGGTGCCAACTTGAAGGCTTAAACCAGACATGAAGTTCATGATATGCACTAAAACGTTTTTTTTTCTGTCATTCGTTGATAAGCTTCTACATGTGCATGTCTGCCTTCCGGCTTTTGTGTAAGCTGTAGGGTAAGTTTTTGTTATAATTATAGTTCATGGCTATGCTAGTGAATGTTTAAAGTTTAAGAGCAACACGGGTACTACAAGTGTAGAAGGAACTAATAATTGTACCTTATCAGTTCACCAAAAGTTTTCAGTGTGGTTTAAGTTGTACAAATTGAAAGTTGCTAAACTAACCGAAGAACATACAACACCATGAACAGAAAAAAAAAAACAGTGTTTGTCTAATCCACTCTTTATATTATTGTAAAGTATGATCCTATGGTTAATTATTGACCCCTTAAGGTAACAGGTACTTCCGACATCAACACAATAGATGTAATATAGGAAGAAGCTTTGTTTCCAGACGATTTCGAAACCGTTTTGAATTGTCCTATCTGGTAATTCTAGGTTAATATGTTCATTTAAAACTTCGATTGCAAACGTGGACAAAGGCAAATAATAATTTGAAACAAGAAGATGTGGTATGAGTACCAATGTGACAACTCACCATCCAAGTCACAAAAAAGTGTAAAAAGTAAACAATTATAGGTCAAAGTACGGCCTTCAACACGGAGCATTGGATCACACCGAACAACAAGCTATAAAGGACCCCAAAATAATTTGTTTGTTTTACAATTGTCAGAATTTTATTAGGTATTCAAAGCCCTTTGGTGTACAACTGTTTGAAAGTTATTTTTTTTCTAATCACGACATATTATGCATTCATTATAAAACGACCAAGGTAAGAAACACGCTTACGATGTTTGCAGCCGAAGATGGAATCCAAGCCAAGAAAACAATGATACAATATTAACTTATCCCGCGGTTTTGTTATATAAACTCTAGGGGACATGTAAAAGGCTATTTTTAACCTAAATTTTAAGTCTCATTTCGGAAATATTTGTTTCATTTAATTTTGTTGAAATATTTTGCAATTAAAATTTTATTTGTTTAAGGTACTATTTGTATCAATAAATGTCTAAAAGGGTTATAATAAATGGGTTTACAAGTGTACATCAAAATGTGTTCATGTGCAAGTAAATCATTATTTTGATTCAATGTCGTTTCGGACCAGCATGCTTAAACGACATGTTATCGAATATTATCTGAAAAGCAATTTGTGTTCTTCCAGCTCCTTGCTTTAACATTTTGTTGAGTAAAACTTTATTTCGAAAAAAATGTTGTTTTTTTGTCTAGAATAAGCAATAAGACATGCTTAAACGACAATTTATAAAATTTTAGTTTGAATTTGTTATTAAAAAGAGAGTGAGTATACTCGGGAAGGATAAAAATAAAACAAGTCGAATAAACACGAACAATACTATGGCCAAAAAGAACAAACCCCCCCCCAAAAAAAATAAATAAACATACGGTCCACAAAATACGACAGAAATCTAATGATTGAGCAAAACGAACACTACCAAAAAAACCGTAATGACAACTTGGAAAATTGATGATGAGTAACATCAGGTGATAGGGGCGGATCCAGCCATTTTTGAAATGGGGTTCCAACACATACAAGTCATACAAAAAAGGGGGGTTCCAACCATAAGTCCCCATACAAAAGCATTAGTTGTAAAACAAAAAGGGGTTCAAACCCCCGGAACACCCCCTGGATCCACCAATGGGTGACTGCACCATACAATAGCTGATTGTTTAATGTCTCTTGTCTATCCCTAAGACATCAACAAATTCATGCACCATGAATATGCTAAGTAGATTTAGATTGACATAAACACCATACGAAAACTCCCTTATTGAGTCTATTTTTTGGGCAAGAACTGCAGTTGTATTTAGGTATCTATTTTTATATATAAAAAAAATTTCAACATAGATACTATTAAACGAGAAGACCTCATTTTGTGTGTCGCTTCTCTTCCTTCCCCAATAAATTAATCATCATGCCTCTGTGTCCTATAGGTACCATGCATAGTCGCATTTGTCATCCATTCTTATGATTATTCAGTTTGGGTTATTTTGGGAGAAAAACGAAGAAAAAGGCGTCCGGATATTGTTTCCGTCATCAGACCGACTTTTATGTCATACCCAAGACTTCCGTTTTTTTAAAACTTTAAAAGAGGGGGTAAAGGGTTATTTTCGTGCAACGTGTTTTGCCACTTTTTATTTCACGTGCAGCCGTGAAAAGGTTCGTTATTCACCGTGTTTCTTGAAATCGATAAAAAGATCAACGTGCAAGAAATTTTTAATTGTTCGCTCATCGTGAAATGGCAATTTTATTTCGCGTTCTTCCGTGCAGATCATAGTACCCCCCCCCCCCTTTACTCCCCTCTTTAAACATAATTTTCATAATTACTCGGGGACAGGAAAATTATTTTCGCGTTATTCTGCATGTATACTATGATTATAATCCTATAATATATAGAGAGTCTCTATATAATATAGCAGTGATCGCCGTGGAGAAGAAACTTGGAATTGATAGTTAAAGCAAATACACTTTATTTATATTATATGTATGTTCATAGTATACAGAAATGCGAAAATCAACGAATTTAACAGAGAGCAAAAAAATAACGGACTTTGCGGGAAAAAAGGGAGAGGGCTTAAAATAATTGTCCTGTCTCCAAGTGCCTATGACTCAATTTGATACCTTTTCTGAAATTCTCCAGACATAAAATCTTTTACAAAAATTCATCCTACAACAGTTTACATACTTTCAACCAAGCTCTAAATACCCGCGATTTCGCGGGTGTGTTCTAGTGTATATGAAAATAAAGAGATGTGGTATGATTGCCAATGAGACAACTATCCACCAGAGTTCCAATGAAGTGCATGTAAGCAATTATAGGCAACCGTATGTGACTAGTTTTAGAGAATTGGAAAAAAGGTATTTGCTGCTTCTCACATAAGCACGCGGCATTTATGAATAAGAGCAATGAGTTGTCGAATTAGAGTGAACAAAAAATCGGAAAATGCATGAACTAGTTGGAACAGTACGTTAAACAGCCATCCGTCCACCCATCGATCCATAATGAGATGTAACAGTTTAACAACATACACATTTAGAGAGTAAACAACGATCCGTTTGTTCGGACGCATGAAATTAAGAAAGTGTTATTTTCATTCAAACAAGTCGTGACACATTGTTACAGCAGACCACAAAAGGTATTTTCGTCGAGATTTAACGAAGACAACCGCTAATCATCTGCCTTTGGTTTTAATCATGGCAAATCACTTTTAGTCAAAAGATTTTAATTGAGAAAGAGAAAGCGAATTCGGACAGTAAGAGGATATTCTATAAATACTTGAAATATATCATAGATCAAATGTAACAATCAGAAGACTGAAAAGTAACGTTTAATTAACTTAACTAATTTTCAAACAATTTTCACCTAGAGGTTCTTTAATAAGATACTGGATTACGCGGACTAACTTAGAGTCCATTGTTACAACAATAGGTCTGCGAACAAGTTTGATGTAAGGTTTAAAAGGGAAACTCTTTTCAATTGATCATTGAATATCAAAATTATTTTCTAATCCTTAAATATACATCTTATATGCAAAATGGTAATTGCAGGATTCAGATCTACAGTAGGAGGATTATTATTCATAATTATAAAGAAAAACCCAATTTTCCAAGTAACACAAAATGAAAAATATGACGCAATACTGCATGTAATTCATTTAAAAAAAAATCGTTTCAGAAATTGGAAGTCAGGCTCAGGCTTTGACTACACTTAATTCGCCCATCGATTTTTTGAAATTTTAACACCATAATAAGCCACAATCCATGATAATCGATAGATTTGACAAGCTTGTTTATACCTTTATAGACTTATATATGCACTAAAAATTTAGTTCTTCCATTCAAACAAACCCTTATCAAATAATACCACATAGGTCATTGTTATGTCTTGCAGGTCTTTATTTTTACCATCTGTTTATTTCCCTAGATTCATTCTTAATAAAAGCCATATCCTGTAAGATTCGAAGGAAAAGTCTCGTGGTAAGTACTTTATATATATAAACATATACTGGTCCCGCAACTGTTCACGTCAGAGAAGTCAAACGATGTAATTCATTGATAACGATATCTATATATCTTAATGTAATTCTAAAATATTATAATGATTGTATTGTTTGTTTAGGATTTATTCCAATATTAGTTGTTACTGTTAATAAATGGCATTGTATGATAAACGCCAATGATAAAGCAACCTAACAAAGATATAAAATTAAAAAAAAAACAATATAGAGATCAAGCAGCAGTCGTCAATGAACGTTCATCCATTACCTCACGATTTAGCATTGTTGTTAATAACGTATTCTGCAGAGGTCAACAAAGATCTGTTGTCGTTTATGGTTCGCGAAATTTCTTAAACGTCAAACAGGTTTAGACTGCCACGAAATAACCAACAGTGCTGAAAGTGACGTTAAACACCAATCAATCAATCAATCAATCAATCAATCAATCAAACAGGTTAAGAAAACAACCGATAATCGTTTCATATAGATTATTAACAGGTACATTATAACGGGGCCGGATAAGTTGGTGATTGCTCACATTCTAGCCCTGCTATCAATGAAATAACATATGGTTCTGTGTATTTATGAACAATTAAACAGATAGTTCTGTGTATTTCTGAACAATCAAAAACATGGTTCTGTGTATTTATGCATTCATACAATTAGACGAAAGGACCTAGACAAAAGAAGGTGCAAAGGCCTAGCATACTTCCTAAGAAGTGTGTTTTATTTCACAAATATCATCAATACGGTATAATGGACAAACTTTTTCTTGTTACAGATGGACAACCGTATAATTGCTGGTATTTTAGCTGTAGTTTTTGTAAGGTAAAATCAACTTTATTTTAGATCTCTTTTGACATTAAGAATGTTCTGTTTAGACTTTATGTTTCAAGTGTTAATGGTTTATAAATGTTTTATTTGCGTTGATTCCAATGTATTATATGTTACAGTACACATTGGAATTCGGTATGATCCAGAATCCTCTTCCAGTGCACATTGGAATTCCAATATCTACTAGTAGAAATTAGAACTCTGATTTATAATCTAGTACAAATCACTAGTAGAAATTGGATTAATCCAGATTTGTACTAGGAGGATACTGGATTGTACTAAATTTCTAATAGTATCCAGGATATTACAATAGCAATAGTTAGTTTGATTTTTTTATCCTACTGGATCTTTTTGTTATTTATTATTTTCACTTGATATCTTTTGGTTTTTTGATAAGCAAAAAAATTTCGACTTTAAAACATGAGTAGAGTTCAGGGAAATAGAATTTGCGTAAATTAACAAGATTGTGTTTTGAATATTGATTTTGAAACATTATTGAAAATTTAACATGTTTTTGTTAAATCTTGTATCGACCCAGTACAAATATGGACATCCTTATTTCTACCAGTAGATATTGAAATTCTGAATGTAATTGTACTGGAATTAAATTTGAATAAATCTGAATTCCGATTACTATTAGAAAATTTTGGAATTCCAATTTGTACTAGAAGGATTCTGGATCCTATTCAATTCCAATTGAATTGTAACATATACATGCACATTTATATAAAATGTGATATAAAAGCGTTACCAAATTGAATACGTGTTAAACAGGAGTAAAATTAGATACAGATGAGCAAACGATGTCAGTTGATCTCTGGTGGAGAGTTGTCTCATTAACAATCATATCACATCTTCTAATTTTCCTAAATAAAACTAATAATTAAAAAAACGTTTTAAAAATATTTGTAGTATTGTTGCACATCCTGGTAGACCTGCCTTTAAAGACAGTCCACAGGCACGAGTTATATTTGCAGCAGCTGAACGAAATCGGACAAATGATGGATATATCACGCCAGATGAATTTAGGGACATCTTTGCCACGTTTGATACCAACAGTGAGTTTTGTTAAACTTCTGTCTTTTGTTTTAAATCTGGTTATTTTCAAAGCATTTAATCAAATCGAAATTATTCCGAATTTTTGTACATGTATTTGATTTATGAAATTTCGTGATCATCGTCGCATTTCATAGAATTTTCGATGTGAATCACTGCCGATTGCGGTTGAGACTGGATGTAACACCGATATAAAAAGAAGAAATGTGGTATAATTACCAATAAGACAACTCGCAACAAGAAACCAAATGACGTAGAAGTTAGCAACTATAGGTCACCGTACAGCCGTCAACAATGAGCAAAACCGATATCGCATAGCAAGCTATAAAAGACCCATGACTTGGGACAGGCACATACAGAATGTAGCGGGGTTAAAGATGTTTGTTGGCACCCCCCCTAAACCCTACACCATTATGTAATAGACTTTGTAACTTCTGCCATGACAATTTTATAGAGACAGAAAAACATTTTTTGATAGACTAGTTTTTTTTAACTGTATCGATATTTTGAGCAATTCTCAATATGGTTTTAATTCTCATGACAACTTTGACTTTAATATTAATTGTGATGAAACTCAAGTTTTATTAGCAAAACATTACATCTTATGTTTTTTACGTATAAGAAGGTTCATTTGTAAATTTTTAAACTTTCCTGTACAAATGAGTATTTGAAATTTGAAGTATCATATGATAACTATTTTTATTATTTTATTATTCTTTTTTTGATATTTCATTATAGCATATATTTTTATTTTGCAAATGATGAAAGTGTCTCATATGTCTTTTAGGCAGGAATCTAATATGATTTTAATACGCCATCACGATTTGGTTGATCGTTATGGAATATCTGTTGACGACAGATATATGACACGACAGGTGCCACATGTGGAGCAGGATCTGCTTACCCTTCTGAAGCACCTGAGATCACCCCAAGTTTTTGTGGTGTTCGTATTGCAGAAGTCTTATGTTTTTTTGTTGTGTTTTGTAGACTGTTTGGCTTTTTGTCGTGTTTCGTTTTTTGCCATGGCATTGTCAGTTCGTTTTCGACTTTAGAGTTTGATTGTCCCATTGGTAATTTCCGCTTCTCTTTTGAAGATTTTTATATTGCATATGATAGTGTATATTAGGTTGTGACACTATACTCAATTAATTACTTACTTGCTTCCTTTTCTTGCACTGCAATCGCTGAGAATAAATATAAAAAGTGTAAAACCAATCAGTTCGGATGCTGTATTCAAGTGTAGTTTATTAGTTTGATCACTTTTCAAGAATTAATTTAACCAGCAGCACTGCACTGAGAGTCAAGAGTTGTAGAAGCAAGAAAAAAAGGATAGGTTATCCATATATTATCATTAATCATATGAATGTAAAAATCATGGCGACGAATATCCTCTAAGATCCTAGAAAATGTTTATGTTTGTTTATATCTACGCCTGTTTTTTTAAGTTATCAGGGCATATGCAAAACAAAATATACGATCTTGAAAGGTTTCTAATTTTGTGAGGAACCGTAACAAATGCCCTTGTCAAGTTACGGACAGAAACAAAAAAGAAGACGACGATTTGATGCTGCTCTGTATTATGTCTACGATTGATTGTTGTTTGTTTACTCAAAGTCGGTTAGAAAATATTACATGCATGTTCAGACCGAGAACAAATTAACAATAAAAACGATACATAGATTCTGCAAGTTAGTGGTCGTCCGGAATGAAAGACAGCAAATATAGACTGCCACTAGGAAAGGAGGCAAGTTGGATAAGGACAACAATTTTGTCTTATGGCCACCTACAGGCACCTCAAAGAGTTGTTGCAAGGGTTCTTTAATGTGCCTATAACATGAAATTTTCTCTACGAGAGGCGTATCCGTAATGTCCCCATTCTTTCCAAACGTGGCTGTGAGTTTATACCCGCTTAGCCAAATGGACGCCCTTCTTTGGAGAAAGAGTAAAGAGAGAAAAGGAACAGAAACTAAACACCTGATGTCTGTGATAACAACTATAATTTCACAAACAGTTTTGTAAATTTACAGGTGATGGCGAGGTCACTGAAGTGGAGTTCTTATATATTTGGAAGGATCGACAACTAGGAGACTTATCAGCAGCATCTAGTTTGTTCCATCACATTGATACAGATAGAGACAATTTAGTGACAGAGATTCCAGATATGTCTAGAATATTCTACTACTTCGACACAAATCGTAAGTGTTCACAAAATTTTCATGTTTAATTTTCAACTGGTTTAATTGCAAATCGACTAAACCCGAAAATCTATCTAAACATAGAAAGACTTTTGTGTTAAAAAAGAAATAACGAGTTGTGGTATGATTGCCAATATGAAAACTTTTCACCACAGACCAAAGCACGAACGGTTGGTTTCACCTGTTGATAAAGTAGATGGTATAAATTATATGCACATACCTACCAACTTTTCAAAATCTCCATTCGGGATTTTTAGCATAAGAGGACCTAATGCATTCCTATATATGTCATTAGTTTACTTAATTACAATATCTATGGTTAAGAATGAGTTAGCATGTGTTCAAATGTATGTTTTACTCCTCTGAATGCCTTTTAAAAGTATTTAAATAAATAATTGAGTATTGTAATGGTCAGGTCAACACCTCTCATGGGGGATATCCCCATAAAGCGGGAAAGTTTGCAGGTCTGTGTGCATCCTTCTATAATTTTCTCATATTTCTTCAAATAATAAATAATGATATAACAGTGCTTGTTTAAAAATGAGTAGAAATAACATGCAACAAAATTCAAACATTAAACGTCTCAAGTTAACGTAGCATTTCTTCAAAGATATTTTAAAAGGAACCATTTAGCAAAATATATCTGAAATTAGATGTACAATACACACACATTGTTGGTAGCAATTAAAATCCTTGATACAACCACTACATTAAACCTTGATTGTATAGATAAAGCGACAAAAATGTAAACCCCGGATCCGCTTATCCTTCCTTGAGATCATCCCCGGTTTTTTGTAGGCTTCGTGTTGCTCAGTCTTTAGTTTTCTATGTTGTGTTTTGTAGACAGATGTTTGTCCTTTGGTCTTGTTTCGGTTTTTTTTTGCCACGGCTTTGTCAGTTTATCTTCGACTTATGAGCTTGAATATCCCTTTAGTATAACCCTTATTCTTCCTAGTTTACACGAAGCTATTTTCAGATGAGTTTACTATCATTGTTACAAGTTGTGCTTATTTTTATTTTGTATACTTTCAGAGGATGGAAAGATTAGCCTGGTCGAATTTGTCATCGTTTGGATCAGTCTGTCTCAGTGACATTATCAAATCAATACCAAACAACATTTATTTTGTTCTGCTATCTTATTATTATTGTATTTCATTCAAATCTGATATTGAAAATATGCAATAAATCAAGCACAGGGCTTTCAGTTTTGTGATTTTTTTTTATCGCTTTAGAGATGCAAAAAAGTGATGATATTTTATCTTTTTCTCTCTCTTTCTTTAAATGCTACCGCAAAGGGTAATTAATTCAGCTTTTTCAAAATTATTTTACACGGTGTATCAAAATTATCAAAGTCATATTTGTGATCAAATAAAAAAGGAACACATCCTTGTATCAGGTGGCTAAAATAAATCACTGTTGAATTTATTATAAAAATTGCGTTAGAAATGGGGATTGTAATTGTTAACAGACAACATAGAAGTCTCGCAGAATTGCTGAATCAGTCTAAACCCTACACTATTGTTTTATTAAAGTGATACTACATGTGTCTCTCTTTTGTCGCAGGATATGTTTTAGCTGGGTTTATTCATCTGCTGTAAATTTTTGAGCCGATTACATTGTTGGAATTCGTCTTTGTATTTCTTTGCCGGTATTTTTTTGTGCGAAGGATGTCTTTTTCTGCTACTTCTATTTGAGTTGTAAGTAAGCACACTATTTGTCCACTAATGGCACTACTTATCAGTAAAACTTTAAAATTAAGTCTTTCCGACCCTGCAATATAGATTAAAAATTGGAAGAATTTAATTTAATAGTGAAAGTAAAAATCTTACTTAATCGTCAATGTTTCAAACAGAAAATAATAGGGCAAAACAGATGTATTTTCAGAATTCAGTAAAGACCATTTCATTTTTGTTATCCTCCATCCTTTAATGTGTGAAATTTAAAAATCTGACACAGTAGTTTATTTGTTGAAACTATGGAACAGAACATACAATATCGCCCGGTTAAATTTTGTTTTCAAAGTTTTAAAGACCCCAATTTTTAAATGGATTTAGCGATGAGGAAATGCAATCGTAAACTATATCAATGATTCTTTGTGATAAAATTCTATGTATAATCATTAGTTTATAAACAATTCATCTAAGTAATTTTACAGATGTAGCATTTATTTCCACGAATTAAAACTGGAATTTTATTTCAATGAACAAGATGTATTTATCATCTATAGCTTTCGTGTTGCATGACGTCATTCATTATCTACACAACTAACTAGAGACATTATAGTCACTTTACAAGGAAAGTAGGTTAAGACCAGTACATTTCCAAACTTTATCTTATCAAAGACACGGTATTTCAGAGTTCATAGCCACTGTCAAGTGAGTGTTATATACATATAGGTAAAAAAAAGGAATCTAAATTATTTACTTATTTGAAATTGTTTTATTTCCTCGAGTACAAAGTTAATCTATAATATCAAAATTGATAAAGTTGGAAATAAACGTATTGATAAAAACTTCCAAAATGCAGAAAACTCGATGCTTTTATTCAAAATACTTTTGGGGGAAATTGAAGTTTAGATTTGATTATGACAATAGGGAACAAACAGCAATAAATATTGCATATAAAGTTGTTGTGACCTTATCCTCTGCCTTATGTGAAATGGCCAGAAGTGAATATGCAATATTACGTCAGCTAGGTTCATATTAGGTTCAGCTCATGCAAAACAGGTACTGATATCGATATCCTATCCAATCACAATATGTCCATGAAACATGCATGACGTTTCTAATTTTGTTTTACTGTTTACGATTAGCTCAACGTAAATTTCCGATCAAAAGTACAAAGTTAGTTAAAAGTGAATATTCAAAAACGTGTTAGTCTTCCAATGAGACGCGAACCGCCTCGGTCGTCTCATGGTAGCGTGCTCGCCTCGAGTACGGGAGGTCATTGGTTCGATCCCCGGCCGGTTCAAACAAAAAACTTTTAAAATTGTTATTTGTTGCATCTCCGTTAAGAACGCTGTATTGAGGAGTAAGAGCGAGGGAAAAAAACCAACTGGTCGGCTCGGAGTCCGAACAATGTGTCCGGGTAATTCGACATGTCTTCCTGTGGATTTTTACCTTGTAAACTATCACGTTAAAATCCGGCTATGCGTGTAGGTTTAGAACAAATCAAGGTTCATATTCATACCGCATTAACATGTTCTGGTCCTAAATATGCATTTAAGAAACCCCAAAGAATAGCAGGTGCACAACTGCATGTCCTGTAGATGTTTCTGTGTAAGTTTATAAGAACTCGGTCGAGTAGTTGCGTATAAACAATCTGATATTATCATAAATTGCAAAATCTATGTGTTTCACTCGGATCAAAAATAACAATTTCATATACTGTAGAAGAATCGGTGCACGGTTGGTCGAAATTTGGCAAGCCGTGTTCAATGGCTTGTGGATTGACAAAGATAAGGACGATAATAGGGATATTTGTGTCGATATTGCTGTCAATCGACACAAAAACAAATACATAAAAAGCGTCAACAATTTTGAAGAAAATACCACAGGACAATACAAAACATAACTTGAATTGAGACAACACCATAGCCAAAAGAAAGAGACAAAAAAAAGCAAGCAAAAAAAAACAAAACAAAACAATAGTCCACTGAAAATTACAAAGAAAGCATTGAACAGTACTAATACTACCAAAAACCTAGGGATAAACTCAGATGCTTCAGATGGGTAATACAGTCCTGCTCCACTAGCGGCATTCGTCGTGTTGCTCATTACAAGTAAAAATCCTGTGGTAAGTCGTGTAAGGCAAAAAGGAGGACGGGATTTTGACAGCGGTTTATCCGTGTTTACATTGTGTACATGTGACAAAGATATTCCACAACGGTTAACTAATCATTATGGAGACCGTAAACCGTTCAAAGAGATGACTTCAAAATTACCATTAAGAACTCTTTGTTCAATAGATTCTTTAAATGATTTTAATGATTGATTGTTGTTGTTTAAAGCCATTTTAGCACTATTGTAACTGCTTTATAGACGTGGTGGTCAGCTTTTATTAGTGGAGGAAGCCGAACTGCGCGGAGAAAACAACTGAACTTCGACAGGACAACTGGCAATCATAGTCAATTAAGATTGGAGACTGCCACGTGGGTTCGAACTCACAACCTAATTGTTGGCAGGCTAGTGATACAGTAACAATAACGGTCTTTACTAATAGACTAGTGTCTTTACAATACGCCAAACTCTAAAGTAAAGCTCACATACCACACGCCCCTCTCCCAATATTAAAGAGGAAACGTTTTTAGAAAATCTGTTTACCTCGAGGTATGATTTTTTCTGTTATAATTTAGGACATTATTACTGTCGTACACAAATATATTCTTACTAATCATGACCTTGACCTAAGATAATGTGACCTTAAAATCAAAAGGAGTCTTTCTCGCATTATATGTGACTATATATCCAAGTAAGATTTCAATCCTATATGATGTATTTGATCTAGCATCCCGAAACTTTTTTCTGCGTTAAATATTTAGTTACTTTGACCCTGACCTTTGACATGGTAATCTCAAAATCAATAGGGATCTTCCTCTCATTATATGTGACCATATATCCGAGTTGGGTTGTAATCCGATAAAATCTTTTGATTAGTCATCCGGAAACGAAGAAGAATGACGGGCCAAACGACGGACAGACGGACGGACGGATCGAAAACTATATACCCCGCTACTATACAGCATGGGGTATAATACAAAAGAGAAATACTTACATGTTCCCTGACAGAAAGACACATGAATATATTACAGGGTTAAACTAGTTTTTAGAACTCAGTCCGCCCCTTTTAATCTCGATCAGTTGACTATCAAAAGGTTCACGAAAGAACATAAAGAATATCTCTACAGGAATAACACTTAACTCTATAATAACGGTATAATAGAACTTAAGTTAAACCAAAGAACAAATATACAACACCGCATCAAAGAATTGTACTCGCAGTCTAAAATACTCAACCTGCTTATATGAAGTCATGCCTTCCTTCACTCAAATATTGGTGGCAGTACCATATAGTAGATTTCATTCAACAATGTCATAAACAGTACATGTAGACACAATCTTGTGCAGTGCCCAAAACACAGGTGTATGTAGAATGTTATCCAATCAAATACAACAACCTAAACATATTACATTAAAATGGTAGATATACTCTTTATAACTTTTAACTTGATCGAAGTGGAAGATCAATTGTTGGGTCGTTTGATTATTTCAGTTGAACATCATGGCAAAACTACTGACAACTATCGTAGCAGTAATGGCAGTTTCCATGTGAGTTGCTTACTTTGCATTAAAGCTAGTTCATGTGATTGTCCATCACAGAGTTAACTCAAAGAATTAAGATTAGCTTACATTATGGATATTATTTGGCATAATTACCCTTTTTTTAAATATCAAATAGAAACCAGGACAGATTAAACTTAAAACTCTGATAAGTGAAAGTCTGATAGGTTTGCTACACAATTTCATTTCTTTATTAAGACATGGTAGTTTAAAATGCAGGGGTATTTTTTCACCCATTTGTAATTTCCTTGGCAAATGGGATACGTAATTGAAGCAGAGATCCCTCTTTGTCAGCTGATCTGGACTGCTTAGGATTTCTGTATTCCCGGTAAATTTAAAATAAAAGATGTTGTGGATTGAAAGGAAAGACATGGTAGTTGATTTACAACTATATTCCATATACGTACATCATTTTTCTTGCGTGCTTCTTATCTATTACCGATAATGTTGGAAATCTATCCTGAGCATTAAGTGCAATCTCATTATTTATTTTATAAAAAGGAGTGCTCTTTCGTTAGATACTTGTTTATCTAGCTTCATGAAATTTTACTATATTCATAACTTATTCTCAGATTAATAAGCTCGGTCCGAATTTTATGTTTTCCATAAATACATATCGTTTTGTTACCTTCCAGCATTTTATCTTGTGCCTATAAAGTCTTTTGTTGTATATTTTTTTTATACCATCTGAATCGTACAAACAGAATTGTGTGTTCATTTCAGAAATACTTTTTTGTTATTTTTAGAGCAATTGTTTTTGGTAACCCTGGTAGTACAGTAGAAGACAGCGATGAAGCTAGACATTTATTTCATTTAGCAGATAAAAATCTTGACTTCCTGTTAAATCCAGACGAAATGCATTCCGTCTTTTTAGACTTTGACTTAAATAGTAAGTACATATTTGATCAGTTTTGGAACTGCATGTATACCTTCTGTGGTCCCAAAGTGGGCCTAATGAGTTTAGTGTTATGCAATCTTTACTTTTTTGTAGTGCTTTGACTATTGTTTGCTAGCCATCTTTGACACAGTATCTTTGACTGATACTTTTTATCATATAGCGTTGGTACCATTTTATTTTGCCTTTTATTTAACAAGCAGTGAGCCTTTAAAGACGTATATCAACATTATAACTTAATTAGGAGCCGCTGTATAGCCTTTTTGTGCTGATGCGGCGTAAAGCAATCACCAATCAATTAATTAGAAGCCATACAATTGATTCGATGCATTATTTTTAAAATGTTTTATGCCGTTACTCCTTTATATGTCATCAATATTTGGCAGTTTACACTCCGACCTTAAAATATAAAATAATACATATGCATTATCTCTATGGTAGATATTTCAGATACGTCATTGACGCTTTTCAGGGCATCTCCAATAGGAAAAGAGCAGTAAATCATCAAATAGTTCGAAAACATTGCGAAGAATTAACTATTTGTGACAGGTTTTTTTTATCCATAAGAGGCGAAAAAGGGTGAAAGAGCTCAATAATCTAAGTCCCGCAGTGTCAGCTATTTGAAAGAAAGCTACATGTACATACCGATGAGGGTCTGGATGGGGTCCTTCATTTCTCTATTCTTTATACTGTTTGCCCATTATTCTCTATTTTTTATATTCTATCACCTCAGTTTTTTTTCTATTCTTTATTTTATTGATTCATTTTTCTCTACTCTTTATAATTTTTGCCCATTATTCTCTATTCTGTGAACCCCCATCCAAACCCTCGCCGATAGTGGCATTTAAAATCGGTTCTTTTTAGTGTAGGGGTATTGCTGAAACCATTAATCATGTATTTGCCTGTCAAATAATTTCCTTTTCCATTTCCTTTGAACAAGTCAGAGAACAATGTTGTTGCCCCCTATCCACCGTCCCTATCAAAAGTATGTAGGGGGTCTCGGTGGCCGAGTGGTCTAAGCAGTTACTACTGTAATCACTAGCCAGTCAACACTGAGGTTGTGAGTTCGAACCCCGCTCGTGCGGGTGCACTCGACTCCAATCTTAATTGACTAGGATTGTCAGTTTTCCTATCGAAGGTCGGTGGTTTTCTCCGGGCACTCCGGCTTCCTCCACCAATAAAAACTGGCCGCCACGAAATAGCCCAAAAGCGGTGCTTAAAAGTGGCGTTAAAACACCAAAAATCAAATCAAATCAAATCAAAAGTATGTTCCGCTACCACTGCTTATACTATAGAAATTACATATTTCACAATCCATAAAAATTTGTTTTATTTTTCTTACTATAGATGATACGTACATCTATGTGGACGAATTTATCAATGACTGGTTATCGGACAATTTGGGAACGGCATTAGAGGCTGTGACAATATTCCATCATCTCGATGTTGATAACAGTGGCTATATCAGCGAGAATCCAGATATGCCCTTCATTATCCACTTCTTTGACAGAGATCGTAAGTAACTATTTTTTGCGGATGTTGACTGTAAAAAAATATGAATAAGGCATGTATGTTGAATTTCAAAGACATATTGCTTTCTGCTATTTTACAATCTAAGATGGTGGAAGACACTCGGCCTACATTAAACATGTTAAAAGTATAGGATTTATGTTTGATAGACTGTAACAAAATAAAATGTTCCAAAGGAAATTTAAATACATGAACTTTAAAATTCAAGATTCAAAAATTGCGAATGCTTCATTCTTTACTGCAAATTAACAGGGCGAAATACATTCCAAGCCGCATTTTGTAATAAAAATAGACTTTGTTAAATATTGTTCAAAAGATATATATATATTACATATTAAAGATTCGTTTTAAAGGTTTTATATTAATCATTAACAGGCGTATCTAGGTAACTTTAAAAAGTATCTTGTATAAATTAGTGTTTTCGTACTTTTATACGACCGCAAAAATTTGCGGCCGTATGATGGTATGGCGATGTCGTCGTCGGCGTCGTCGTCTTCATCCGAAGACATTTGGTTTCCAAACAATAACTTGAGTATAAGTGTATGTGTCTCTTTGATATTGTACCACAGGGTTCCTACCACAGGGTTCCATACCACAAAAGGAAGGTTGGGATTGATTTTGGGGGTTGTGGTCCTAGCTGTTTAGGAATTAGGAACCAAAAAGGAACAAAAACAAGCGTTTTTCTTGTTTCAGGGCAATAACTTGTGTATAAGTAAATGAATCTCTATGGAATTGTACCACACGGTTTCATATCTCAAAAGGAAGGTTGAGATTGATTTTTGGGGTTATGGCTTAAACCGTTTAAGAATTAGTGATCAAAAAGGGACAAAAACAATGATTTTCTGGTTTCCGGACAATAACTTGAGTATATATCTATGGATCTCTATGAAATTGTACCACAAGGTTCCATACTAAGAAAGGAAGGTTGGGATTGATTCTGGGGGTTCTGGTCCTAACCGTTTAGGAATAAGGGGCTAATACAATACTTTTCGAATTCTTTGTTTTAATTGCCTAATTCTTGACCAATTTCAATGGGATTTAATTCAAAGTCTTGAATTCTTGGTGTTTTTTAATATGCTGAATCTAACCGTGTATTTTAGATTTTGAATTTTGGGCACCGTTTGTAAATTAGTTCACATTGAAGTCCAAAGGGCCCAAAATTAAACTTTGTTTGATTTCATCAAAAATTGAATTATTGGGGTTGTTTGACATGCTGAATCTTACCCGTGTTTTTAGATTTTTTATTTTCGGCTCCGTTTCCAAATTTGTCAACATTAAGGTTCAAAGGTTTCAAAATTAAACTTTGTTTTATTTCATCAAAAATTGAACTCTTGTGGTTTTTTGATATGCTGATTCTATCTATGTAATTATATTTTGGATATAGGACCACAATAAGCAAATGTCCAATTTTTATTTTTTAAGTTCTTAGACCAAATTCATTCTGTGTCAGAAACCTATGCTGTGTCAAATATTTAATCACAGTCCAAATTCGGAGCTGTATCAAGCTTGAATGTTGTGTCCATACTTGCCCCAACTGTTCAGGGTTCGACCTCTGCTGTCGTATCAAGCTGCGCACGCCGGAGCATTTTATTAAAGAATAAACAGATTTTAATTTGAAAAGTTACAAAGCATAAACAGTTGTGAGTAACCCCTTTGTTCTAGAACAAAATACTGTAGTACATATTTCTTAAATGATTAATCCTTTCTAACCACATGGTTTTAATAAAAATGTATATTAGTTTCTGTATAGTTTCATTCACTTGAACATATGAATAATTTTACCAAACTTATGATTGATGAGTCAGTTTAAAATATCTGAGATTAAAAAAAAGCCAAAATATTTCAATGGGATTGTACAAATTTACGGAAAAATCTAAATTGATATATTTAGGGATATTTTATGAATATTCAGTGTTCAGAGTGGGTAAAAAATTCATTGTTTGCCTTGCTTTGAAAATTGTTACAGATTTTGTCTAACGATTCATCGCATTAAAACAATTAACCGAACTTCACTTAAAATTATTTGTAAAGCAACATAATGGAACAGTTTTACATTTGTTTCACTTAAAATTTTTGTTGTATACCATATAACATCTATTTTTCAGTTGATGGACATATAAGTCAAGCAGAGTTTGTTATACAGTGGGTGAAGATTAAAAACTCTTAAAGATAGATGTCAGTAACCATGACAACTGAATACGTCTACCTTAATAAAGTTATATCCTACTTTTCGTGTATTAATTCACTCGAAATGTTGTTAACAAAAAATACAAATAATAAAACAACGTTTTGTGGCTTGCAGAATAAAATAATTATACTGTAGTGTGTCAATCTGACGAGTGAAGCCCTTTCCAACTGATTTTTACAGTTTGTTCTCATGGTTTGCTTTTACTCCATTGACCCAGGTTAGGGGTTGGGATCAGCGTTCACATCCATATTTAGAACGAAAACAAGTTAAAGAAGTAGCAGTATACCAACTTCGCAGTGACGGATTTTAACGTGAAAGCTCACAAGTTAACAGTCCGTAGAAAGACACATCATCCTTCTGAAACACATTAGTCTGACTGCGCTGACCAGTCACTATAAACATGCAGAGATTTGGTATGATTGCCATTAAGAAAACTGTCCACCAGAGTCCAAAATGACGTGGTTTTAAGCAACTATAGATCACCGTACGGCCGTTAACATTGAACAAACCCAATTTCAACAATGCTCTGACTTCTAAATATATGCACATATTGTTTAAAATATCTGTATACTTAGAAGATAAATTCTCTATAAAAAATCTAAATTTTTGTATACATACAAATAAAATTTCATCAACTTTTCAATATTCCTCACATTATTTTTTATAACCTTCCTTTTTTAAATTTTCGGCTTATAAATTAAGAAATCATTTTAGGAAAATGATCTAAGATGGATTTGGTTATTATTTTAGGTCCATTTTGTTCATAGATATAAGAATAAGAAGACGTGGTATGATTGCCAATGAGACAACTCTTCACAAGAGACCAAATGACACAGAAATTAACAACTATAGTTCACCGTATGGCCTTCAACAATGAGCAAAGCCCATACTGCATAGTCAGCTATAAAAGCCCCCAAAATGACAAATGTAAAACAATTCAAACGAGAAAAATAACGGCCTAATTTATGTATTAAATAATGAACGAAAAACAAATATGTTACACAGCAACAAACGACAACCACTGAATTTCAGGCTCCTGACTTGGGACAGGTACATACAGAATGTCGCGGAGTTAAACTCGTTTGAAGGCGCCAACCCTCCCCCAACCTGGAACAGTAGTGTAACAGTACAACATAAGAACACACTGTAAAAATCAGTTGAAAAAGGCTTAACTCATCAGATGGATACAAATAGAAATACATCTAACAAAAACACAGAGTGGACGTGAACGGATACTTATACATCCACACAAGAGAAAGACACTTAGTACAGATATAAGAGTACTCACAGTTACTGAAAGCTAGCTAAAAGCCAATAACAACTAATAAGCTCATCACGTTTTTCGGTACGTATACATCTTTGGCTTTCAAATATGTGGCTTTGAGAGTTCATGATGAAGGTGAATTCAGAAAAAACGTTTTGGGCGCATAAAAATGATAAAGTGTTAATTTATTTTTCACTCTCCCAAAAAGTGATATTTCATATCCCAACTTTATATGGTAGTGTTATTTATAAACAAAGAAGTTTATTACCTTTCTATTTTGGCTCAACAGACGTATTAATAAATGTTATGATTTGTCAGTTCAGTCATAGTGTCAGTTTCTTAGACTAATTTCAAACTTAAGTATAGATTTAAAACTATCATATTTTTTTGTTTTTGTTTTTCATTTGTTGATCATGTCTTCCTACATACCGTTTATGACGTTGCTTTATAAATATTATTTAAGGAATGAATGTAATATTTTTTCTGTCTATGAAGAAATAACATAAAAAATGTGGTGCACACTCAATAACCCGCGTAGCGGGTTATTTTAAAGTGTGCACCACATTTTTTATGTTATTTCGAATAGACAGAAAAAATATAACAATCATTTCTTATAATTTAATTCTAAATTCCATTTTAAACCGGAGTAAACCATGAAAAAACGTTGATGACGTCACGGTCACATGACAAAATTGTGTCTATGAGCTGATAATTCTTATATGGTTTGCGTATTAGAGAATACGTTGATATGATTGGTCGAGAGGGCTTCCGGTAGTGGATCTTGACGTTGTTTATTTTTCGATAGACGACGTTGACCGAACTACTAACCAATGTAAACAAGATGGCGGCGATAATTACACAATCCGGCTCGACGTTAAAAATATTTATGTTCACTTCGCGCTAATCGTTGAATTAAATAATAAACACAAATAAAATCATTTGAATGATAACAAGTTATTTTTGTAGTTTATTTTTTTATCAGATAGCAAATTTCACGGAGTACATATTTTTGCGTTAACCAACACATATATTCATGCACCAGGCCAATTCAATAACACAAATATACAATATACGTGTGATAGAGGTAACGAATGTGGAAAAATCAATTCTTTATCTCCATTTTAAAGAATTATAAGGATTAAACGCCTTTTTAAAGGAATTTATTGGTATATAAACTGGACCAAGTCACTCACAAACATATCATAAAAGTCCTTCGGACTTTTATTTGTTTGTGAGTGAATTGGTCGAGTTTATACACCAATAAATTCCTTTAAAAAGGCTTTTATTTGTTTGTGAGTGAATTGGTCGAGTTTATACACCAATAAATTCCTTTAAAAAGGCGTTTAATCCTATAATAAACAAAACAACGTCAGCCAATCAGAAGACGCGTTACATCCAAAATTAAATTATTCCAAAATACAGCCGTCGATATTAGAGTGTTGGGCGAAATGATGTTAAGTCAGCGGGTTAAGTTCTTTACTTATAACTAGATTTGAGTGTTTTAGTTGTTATCATTGAGTTGAGTGTTTTAAGAAATGATTTTGTTTTATATTTTCTTTTTGTTATTCCTGTAATTGAGATGCAAGGGAGCAGAATGTATTTCTGAAAAGCTAGTAAGATCCCGCCATATATATGTTTATGTACATGTTTCAAGTCCGTGGTAGCATTCGGTGATTATTTAATGTTTTTGGAGTTGATGGCAGATCTTTGATACTTATAACATAAATATGAAAATGAGAAGTGACATATAATATAGTATCTCAAGTTTTTTAACCTGCTTTTAATTTTTTTCGTAAAAAGGGAAAGGACATTTTTCCTGACATTTATTTAATACTACAATTCGTAATAAAATGGGGTTTTTAAATTTGTTTTTAACAAACAGTCAGGCTTAATTCAACACAACCGTCTTGATTCTATTATAAGGTGTGAGCTTTTCAGTTCACCACTGAATATATTCCAGCAATAATCAAGGTGAAGAACAGCCATATCTTTTTTGTTCTTCCGATACTTTATTCTTTTCCCCTGGTACTTTATTGGTATAATCACAAGTACATAGAAACACTTAATACAAATCATTTAAGACAACGCACTAAACGCTATAGCTATGATACCGGTAAAAGAGACAATAAAAACTTAGATACACATTTAAAAAAAACCCACTATATATATAATACCCTAACAAAAGAATATTCGCAGGTGATGATGAGATATAGTAATCATACCATCTTACACTTTGATATCGGCGGCTGAACTTCGGAATAGTCTAAGATTTCACAGAGTAACTCCACAAAGAGTGCAGAAGAACTCTTGTGTAATGTCGAAAGTAATTTAATACAAAATTTCAATATAAGAAAACGTAAAATAAACAATAAATGCGCATTTTGAAATTCATTTAAAAGACAAAACTTTAGATGCATTGATTTAGCAACAACTACTCAATAAGTATATTGAAGGTCAATTCCTACATTTGTTTGCTCTATAAGTTGTGTTATCATATGAATAGTAAGTTATGAAATATTACTTTCTATTAAATTCCTTCCTGCAAGTGGAATCATACTTCCACAATAAATTCCTAAAAAAATTGTGACCAATTTATGAAATATATATCCCTGGTTCCCCGTTATTCCTTTCTTTTTTGTTTTACCTCAGCACTGTTTAGGTAGAGAAAACTAATCGTACTGGTCAACATACAATTATTTCCCGGCTTTTCTTAATTTGAAGCAAGAATCCTTTATATAAGCCAGTAAATTACATAAAATATACTTGCTTTTAGCATTGTCGAAATTTTGCATTTATGCTGTATCATTTCTTGTGGTTATTGCCTTTCTTTGTTAATCTTCCGAACTTTCGGTTCTTATACATCCTTGGCATTCACATATTAGGGTTTGAGCTTTCCTGATGAAGGTAAGTTCAGAAAAGCGCGTAGGACGCATAAAATTTATTTAATCGTTTTTAACAGTGACTGGTTGCCACCCTTTAGCTGTTCGTAAAAAATGCAGCAAGGAACAGACGCGTCAATAATATGAGATGTAGTGCGGATTACTGTTAATGAGACCATATGTCGTGCATATGAAAGACGGGATATGGTACAACCTTCAACACTGACCAAATACCACATCACCGAGCTAGCATTATAAAAATGCTAACTGGAAACAAACACAAATGTTACAATCTAATTTAACTAAAAAAAAAATTAAAAGGAAAACGTATTCAAGACAAACTAATCTTTATTTTATGATAAAATGCCCTTGGTTATTGTTTAAAATACGTTGCTGTCGTGAATTTTCTCCTCGAATATTACATACGCATATACATCTAAAAATCAATAAATTCGCAAACAATATAGTGTCTATAAAGGGAAGCTGTAACCTTAGTTTCAGATTATTTTTCTTGAAGATCGAAGGTCAAAACTAAAGAATGATCGACATGCAAAAGAGGATTTAGACAACGGTCACATAAGTCTAGGGCGAGTTCGTCATAACTCTCTTTATGACAGAGCCATTTCTATAGCGCGTGGATTAAGAAAACGTATTATTCATTTTGCGATTATAACATTTTTCATCTCGACTTACAATACTTAATTATGGCCCAATCAATAACCTTTACCGGTTAGTCCCTGCCAAAAAATAAGCCTGTAATGTAATGGCTAACCAACAAGTTGTTGTTTGTTCATTTCAGTTATATTTGTTTTTCGGTACTTTTTTTGTTATAAATCAGGCCGTTGTTTTATTGTTTCCTCATTAGGCCACACCAATTTGATTTGTAGTTCTCCCA